CATATATATATATATATATATATATATAATATAAAACATTTATACAAAAACATATTTGATGTGCCAAGTGAAAATACTGCTGCCGAATTGTGCAAAACTTTCCATCGTTTTTGTTTTCACCCTCAAGCTTTCATACGTGGACGCAGAAGGCAACTCGATAAACATGGTCCAGATGACCTTCCTCAAACTACTGACAGCCTCCGCCAGGCAAAACCTGACCTACAACTGCCACCAGTCTGTCGCCTGGCACGACGCCACTACGGACAGCTACGATAGGGCACTACGCTTCCTCGGCTCCAATGACGAGGAGATGTCATATGACAACAACCCCTTCATCAAGGCCCTGTCAGACGGCTGTGCGGTAAGTCTTCCATCATAGTTTGAAATATGCATCATTTAAATATGCAACGCACATTTCTGACTGTCCTTCTCTCGTCCTGTAGATGAGGAAGGGCTACGGAAAGACGGTACTGGAGATTAACACTCCCAAGATCGATCAGGTTCCGATCATCGATGTGATGTTCACTGACTTTGGGGATCCTAACCAGAAATTTGGATTCGAAGTTGGTCCAGTCTGCTTCCTTGGCTAAAAAACACAGACAAAGAAAAAAATACCAATAACTTGGCAGGGTAGGACGGGTTAGCGCACGAGTCAAGACTTTTTTTTTCTTGATCTCATCAAACCATCAAGCCCCTGTTCCTGCCACATGCAAGTTTTGAATAAAAAATGGGGTAGCGAACACGTCTTACCTATTACCCAGGAAAATACTTGTTGCCCTTGTAGGGCAAGGATCACATGAAACCTGCTATGGAACAAAAAGGTGAAGGACAACGTCAAGCCAAGGCAATCGGTGAACCTGGGAGGTCCATGAGACGGAGAAAGGGAGGACCTCTCATCCAGAGTCTATCGGTGCAGCGCAAAAAAGAAAAAATAAATTAAAAGAAAAAAAGACGACAACAATGGTGCTTGTTCAAAATACAAAAAAGAGGTGCTATGAGAAAGAGGATGTATTTTAATAAAACTGTAATTATTATTTTGTACATTATTGTTGCTTCTGAATCCACTTTCAAAACTTGCATGTGTATCACAATTGCATCTGGCTCTTAATTTCCAAATCCCTCACGAAGGTTTATAAGTTATAGAACTGAATAAATAAAGAATAAATAATGATATTTTGTGGATGAATACTGTGTACTTATTATTAAGCAAATAAAAGACGGCATTCAAACAGTTCCCTATTATTAATTGTAATGTAAGTCCTTTGTATATATTGACCATCCCAAAGTCGCTCGCAGTTTGGCCCACTGAACACCTCGAGGAAGATTCAACAGCACATGCAACGCAACTAATGTTGTCTCCTGTGCTTGATTTAAGTAATCTTGCCATTCATTCACTTTAATTTAATTTTTGTTTGTTATTTGTTTTTTTCTCAGTTGTAGATCGGTCGCATACCTCAAACTATCTTGAAAATAACCATACCGATGCAAATATGGTGTGCCCTGTATATAACTTGGTTATACAGTTAAGTTTATATATTTTGGGTGGGGATATTTTTTTTTTTGAATGGGAAAAATACATATCTGTTAGGCCTCTTTTTGTTCGAAACCTTCTGTGAATGCAATGCTAAGGCCTTTTCGGTGACCCATTTTTGTAACTAAAATGAGAAATTGTTCTAAATGTGCTTTTTATGGTTCATTTCATTATTAAAAACTGGATTCCAACCAACCATGAAACTGAGTTGTGGATTGTTTGTTTGCTTCGTCAAGTCAGACCGTTTTATTGTCTGTTTGGTATGTGCATTTGTGTGATTTTAATAGGTTTTAAATGACAAATGGCATCTGACCGATACCTTCAGTTTGAAAGATGCCATTTTAGTGCCAATAAGTGAGCTGTAATAATATCCCAAAATTGCATTGGTTAAAATAAATGCTTGCTAGCTCATGCATAACACGTTGTTTAATTAATTACTTCCTCGTATCATTTATCATGCATTACAGCTCATTAGCAGGTCATCTGGGATGTCTGAACAGGATGAGAACAGCGTGTTTACTTTAGAAAAACTTTCATACTCATTTCATACAGGTCCCTCTGGCTCCTTTCCTAATCGAGTGCTGGAAGCTACCCAATCTGATGGTACCTATATGGAGTCTCATTAGGCACTGCGTTTAATATGAAAGCCCCATCTCCATTTAAGAATAAGACCTCTCTCTATCCGCTGTTTGATGTCTGTGTATCCTCACCGGTTAGATCAGCAATGAATTCTCTGCATTATTATTGGACATCTCTCTTCAAGCTTTCAAAGGAATGCCAATTTGATATTTTTCTTTAGGCAAAGACTTTGAGTTTGCCATTTCACCATGAGCCTTTGTGGCAGGCATTCTCTGCTTAGCATTTAAAAAGATTTTCAAAGGATTTGACTCTCTCTGGATGAACTCCATTTGAGCAGCATCTCAAGAACTTTTCTGCATGACAGGGATTCAACCGACTTAAATATATGAGGTACGGTGTTACATTTGGTAACTGTGACTTAAAAACATAACACATTAAGGGGAGAGGTGTTATAATTGAGCAAATTCACTCTCAAAACTTGTCTGGGAGGTTGGTTGCCTAATCAACGACTGGTAACCTCTTTATAGTCAAAATAAAAGTGAAATGGTTTTCTCAAAATATATGCTTAGTCAACTTCACAAACCTAAAGCGGAAAATGCATAAAAGACCATGTGCCTGTGGGAGTGTGTTTTTGTTCTTAAACAGCGTAAGAGCCAAAGCAAATATCCATGTTTAAAGCTTAAAAATCAGTTCACGCTCTCTTAGTGGAGCTTCCAGGAAGCCGTTCCTTCTCTGTATTATTGTTTCTGGTGGTTAGACATTGTACATCCCAAGCACACAACCAAGACAAACAATGAAAAGGCTTTTTTTTTCCCCAAGAAAAGACAGCATTTTGGGGGGGGAGGAAACTTTAACAAACTGGTTGCTCACTTCACATATTTTTTTTAATGGTAATACATTTTTCAGTTATCTGACTGCACTTTATTAAAGTATTTTAAAATTAATCAACTTTTACTTTACTAGGATCCAAATCTTACTTTGTCACAAAGCACATCTCTTTCTTACTACACTACATTTAAAAAAAATATATACAACTATACAAGCCCATTTTCTCCACTGAATAAAAATGATAAGTTATAGTTATATCTCACAATTCTAAACTAATAATACCCGTAAAATATATAATTAAAAACAATAGTTAAAAAAAAAAATCTAAACAATATAAACTCAGAATTGCCAGATGTTAAAACTCGCAGTTCGGGAAAAGTCAGAATTGTAAGATATAAAATTGCAATTGCAAGAAAAAGGTCGGAATTGTGATGTTAAAAGTCACATTTACCTTTTTATTTTTTTTATTTAGCGTTTGAAATTAAAAACAGCAATGAACATTGCGAAACATGTTTACACTGCGAATGTAAACAAATGTAAATCAGAATTGTGAAATGTAAACTTGGAATTGTGAGGAAAAAAAATCGAATTCCGAGTTTATATGTCGCAATTCTGATTTTTTTTCCTCTGAATTCTGAGTTCACATCTCACAATTTCAAGTTGTTGTTTTTTACACCACAGAAAAAAAAAACTTTTCGCAGCATTTTCCTCAGATGCAAAAAACAAAGTCTGAATTGGGAGATATACAAATAGAAATGCAAGAAAAAAGGCACAATTACAGTTTAATTTTTTTTTATTCTGTAGCAGAAATGGGCTTGCACTGAATGATTAATCCGTGAGTTCGAATTATCCGCTTACTGATTCAGTGCATGTTCTGGACATCTTAAGTTAACAAATCTCTGAAAAATAAGCCAAAAGTGATTTTTGGCTAAGACTAAGCTATAAATGTGACTTTACGTCGAAAGTCAAAGCAGACAGTGATTGGTTGGAAACACCCTTCTAAGATTCAACAGATCACTACTGTTTGATTGACACATGTATCATCCAATCACAGGAAGATGTGACTGTAAACCCTACCCCCCATCACCTGCATTGCTCTGCTGGATGCATGGACACTTGAAAGATGTAGTTTGTCTACTTTGTTCCAAAAGATATACCATAACAGAGGTGTTTGCCTGTGTTTTGTCTCATCACTTCATCAGTAATTACCTGAGCTGTCCAACAATGAAAACGTTAAATTAATTCTCTGCATGTGCTGTCTTTTGCAGCATTATTGTGGAATGGGGGAAAAAACACCCACGATTCTCTCTTCAGGGGCTGCATGGGACCTGCCTGTCTCTTCTCCGTTTCCTCAAAGGCAGATGAACAAAGATCAAACAGGCTGGCCAATGGCATTAACTTTGAATATTCAAGCTGCATGGGTACAGAGAGACGCCACGTAACTGCCAGCCCATAATTCCCTCAAAAGGAACGCTAAGCCTCAAATCATAAAACAGCCACCCATTTAAAAAAATAAAAAGCAGGAGAGTTTCCGTCGCTGTCAGTCAAGGCAATCCTCAAAGAGAAAAGCTGAAAGAAGAGCAGCAGATATTCTGAATTGCTAAGCTAAAAGGTAGCCGTGCATTAAAAGGACTCTAAAGCGAACTTAACAAGAAATTCAGCATAATTAGGATGTTTCATAACTACTGCAATGAGGACATGAAGCTCTATGCAGGTAATTAAGTCTGGCTATTAGAAAAATGCACAAGCGGAGAGGTGTTGTAAAAGCTACACTGATTATGATGGGAAGTACAGCAGGTGGTGTATGGATTTGCAGCCATTTACAGAAATGAGCATTTAACGCCTGGTGGGCAGATGTAATTGTACACATAACCTTCAGAACTTCATGGCCACTAACATCTCGTCACTGTGAGAGACATAAGCTCTCTGTATATAATGGTGGTTGGGCTTTATTGCTGGCTCACATCTTTACAGGTCTGACACTGGAATATAAAAATTCCTTTATAGTTGAATTCACAGGCAATTTGACAAACAGTCCAAGCATGATTTCATATCAGTGCAGACTGAAAACTAGACTATTACTATTGTAAAAGTGACCAGGGCTAGTTGTCGCACAAATCTGTAACCATGAGGTTTTGAGTCAAAAGTCCAACAAAAGCTTGTTTTGTCTTGTTCAAATTCTGATATCATGTAATTTTTGCTACAGATGTTTGGTAACAACGTGATCACCAAATCAATATCTACTACTGGCCTACTTTCTTATAGAGTGGATTTAGTCGATTTAGAAACTTCAATTTTAAACACAATATTGCCATTACTTTGCTTTGATCCACCAACAAAAATAGTTTCAAACAAAAGCCTCAGCAGAACAATTGCAGCATTGAATAATACAGTGTTTTAAATCAATTGGTTAAGTAAATGATTCAATGACTCATTTATAAAGACTGGCTGTTTCTCAACAAACTAAGAATGCAAAGAACAGACTTGTATTCTCACGGAGACCGGTATTGCCAGGCTACCTTGGAAGAACGAACTCGGAAGGACCTAAGGACACAGAATGCATCTTTGTGAGAATTGAGATGCGCTGTGATCTTGTTGCTCAACTGAACGTCGGAGCACATTGTAAGAAGTGGCCAAAAGTACAATAGATACAACATACCATCACAAACACATGTCATAGCCTATTAAAACATTTACTTTCTTATTATTATGGATAGACATTATTTTCATATTATTTATATCTCTTTATTATGTGTATTTGTTACCTATGCTTTGTCAATGTTAAGATTTTGTTTAATATGTCAATAAAAATACTACAAGCTTTCTTCAGGTCTTTATCACAAAATTATGCAAAAGAAATGTTTACTTTCACGAGCCGTCATTTATTTACGAGTTTGCAGCGGGAATCTCTTGAGAAAGAACCAGAAGTTTAAAGCTTACAGGCTTTCGTATATATATATTCAGTGTAAATGTAAAGGATCGATCTG